CTCCAACATATCACATCCACATGTCTGTAACTCCAACATATCACATCCACATGTCTGTAACTCCAACATATCACATCCAAATGTCTGTACTGCAACATATCACATCCACATTTCTGTAACTCCAACATATCACATCCACATGTCTGTACTCCAACATATCACATCCACGTGTCCGTAACTCCAACATATCACATCCACATGTCTTTACTCAAACATATCACATTAACATGTCTGTAATCCCAAAATGTCTCATCGCCATGTCTGTAACCACACCTCATCTAGATGTCTTTAATTCTGACACAACTTTTTATCATCTGGTCTTTACCTCTAGAGTATTACATCCGGCCCTAACCAGCATCAGCTTCCCACACTGTACATGCTGTAGAGAAACATTCTCCGACAGAAACATCAAAGACCAGCTTATTGATTATCCTAAGACAGAAACCTCATTTAAAACTACTATCAGATATGCCTGAGGTGTCTCTTGGGACACTATTACTCTGCGGAAACATGAGGCATCCTCTTGATGTGAACTTTCTATAAGAAATGTTTTAGCTTTACTTTCTGACCTCAGGGAAATTTAGTGTGTTCATTTAGCAAGTACATAAGATCTCATCATTGATACACTATGTGAGTATTGGTGTACTATAACTGCCGGATGTCTGACATCAAAAACATATGGTCAGAAAGAAGATGATGAGGTTTTTTAGTTTGCTGAATTTGAAGTACAGCGAAATGAAATAGAAATTATGCAATCAACCAATATAACAAAAATACTGTTTGGATCAACAATCACATATTGTGTCCGATAGTCATTGTTCATGGCGCCTGGTTGTTTCAGGAAAAGACTAACCTGCAAGGCTTGCACCATCTTGACTGCTGCTCAATGCCGTACCGAGCTCGACATTTCTTCTCATTCGGACACTCCCCTAGACAAAGACACAAGATGTATCAATAAGCTACACATAAAATGACACTTCTCTCTGCATGAACCACCACCCACAGACAGCAATAACAATGTAAGAAGCACACCAGAAAACCAGCATCTTCTTCTTTTTGTCTTTCATTTCTGAACAAAACACAGACCTTCAGCAAACTGATATCAAGTTCCTTTGTGGACTTGGTCATGACTGGTGGTATATTATAACATGCATGGTAAGTCACTGTGTTACTACTGTGTGCTTGTCCAGTATTACAAGCAACTAAAGCAAATATGTACATCTATTCTTCTACTGCTTCATTCCCCTTTGAAAAGATGGCTGGCATCATGTGCTTTGGTTTATAGCTAGTCTGTGATTTCTCCACCTTTCAGCCAAACACATCCGACTTCAGCAAATCTTTAATTAGAAGCCTCCTATGACATGCTTGTTAAGGGGCAGGCGTCTTTCTTTCTATCTTCAACCCCCACCCCCCAATGGGACCTGGAGCCCACATGGATACTGTCCTCATTTGTCATGAAGCTAGTCTTCACATATTGGATAGTGGATGCAAACAAACACTGCACTCACTGAGCCAGACCATCTACAACAGCCATCGAGTCAGCAACTATGACAAAAATCTGTACCTTATAAATATTAGTAACCAGGGATATGGGTAATGATTCTGCCTGTAACATAAAGTCTAAAAGAAAAAGAAGGAAAGACGAGTAAAACAGAGGGTAAAATGAATTACAAGGAATGAGTGTTGGCGCTCTATGAAGAGCAGACACAGGGTGGAAAATGTGAACTGTGAAATGACAAATGGAGAACAGAAAAGAAAGATGAAAAAAAAAAAAATCAACTTTGATGTATATTTCAACATCTAGGTGGACAGAAAAAAGGTACACATGATTGTAGAGAAAACAGATGTTAGACTACAACTCCTTGAAATATGTCAAAACTATAATAATTCACAAGAGAGAACAAGCTGACCAGGCCAGATTTGTGAAGCAGACCCACGACATTGTCTCTTTCCCAGGGTGAATAATTATCTAGATATCAGTAAACCAACTATAGCCAGCAAACAAACATGTCTGCTGCACTGACTGGGAGGTCAAGGGTCAGGGCTGTAGACTAATCATGACCTATCTTCACTCCAGTGTTGGGCAACCTGGCCACACTTCAGTGTTGGGCAACCTGGCCACACTCCAATGTTGGGCAACCTGGCCACACTCCAATGTTGGGCAACCTGGCCAAACTCCAGTGTTAGGCAACCTGGCCACACTCTAGTGCTGGGCAACCTGGCCAAACTCCAGTGTTGTTTACCCATCACAAGTGATCAAACACTACTGTTTCTACCTAAGGCAGGGTCAACCACGGATACTGTAGTAACAGATTCTGCAGATGACTTAACATTTTATCGGCTTTAAACAAAAAAAAGTGGCTTAAAAAAAGTCACAGCAATTATCTGCTGCAGCTATGACAGATAATCGGTACTAAAGACTTGAACTTTAATCAAACTGCAGTTTTTCTAATGTAGTTTTTATTGGTGTCTTTTTGTTATTGTTAACTTTCTACTTTATTGATTTAAGTCATTCGAGTCATTACACATATAAACAACATACCAACAATAACAACCAACCTGACTTATTTTCTGGTTCCATGCTCAAACACCCCATGGACCCTCCACCACTCATACCACTGACTCCACTCATGGGACTTAGACCGCCATGACCACCCATACCTGCTCCACCCATGCTGCTTCCACCCCCACCACCTGGACCATCCTTTTTCCTCTTCTTCTTTTTCTGGTGTGCTGCATAGTTGTCCCTGGCGCTCCAGCCAGGGTACAGCTGTAGGTGCAGTTCCTTCTCTTTCCTGGCCATCTCGTAATACTTGGCCTGCTCGGATCTGTCTAATGCATGCCACTGTGAAACAAGATACATTTGTTTTAGCAGCTGCATCCTAACAGTTATCACAATGTTTATACACATTCACTCAAAACCTGAAACAAATCTTATGCTGTATTATCCTTCCACATCCATCAAGATTTTGTTCATTAGCATTCTTCTTCTTCTTAGTGCTTACTGGCTACAAACTCTGGCAGAAAGTTTTAGTTGTTTCTGCACTTCTGACTCCAGTCACATTCCAGAACCTTGAGTTTTGTGTGCTCATTAGTTTTATAGATCTGGCTAAACTGTCTGTGTGCTGACTGTTGGTTCCGCACTTTAGAGCAGATACACTATTAACTCTAAAGGAAACATCTCCAATAGTTGCCTTGTACGACATGCTGCTAGAGGGGCGGTTGCTCTATTCTATCTCTCTCTCTCTCTCCTCCCCCACTGGGGCCCTAGACCCCATATGAGGTACATTAGCATTCAATATTCTTGACAATACTAGCTGTTAAATATTGCTACCCCATATATCCATCATGAAGCTGATCAATTGCATAAGATTTCTACCACCATAAACCTTCAGAAAGTCTCCAAATACCTTGCCAATTCTCCAGATCATGTATTTCCCTATCCAGTCCTTGTAAAACTGATATACTGGTAGGCCCCTGTTTTTCCATCCTGTCTCCTACAACTGTTCTGTCTAAAACAGTAGAGGTAGAGTGTTTGATATGGTGAAGTATTTCAGATTCTGACATGATGCTATTTATGAGCCACCTAATAATTAGATCTCAAAGATTACAATATTTTCTCTCTGAACCATGATGGATAGTCAATAAATTGCCCTGTATATTTCAGTTCAAAAGCTCTGATTCCCATTCTTTAGCTATTAAAAATGGTCCATAAGTCAAATTCATATGCTGCCACAGGAAAGATACAGGTTCTCTAAATGTTGAAGGTTCTTTAATTGGAATCTGATGATACTGCCATGGCCAATATCTTCCTACTGAATGGTTGCCATTGTGGCAAATTACAAAGTCAATGTATCCAGAGTCTGTGTCATTGATTTCATTACTGATTCTTATACTACAATACAGATTACATAATACCCCCTTTAACCATTAATGAATACACAAAAATCAACATTATGCAACCTACAAAAAGTATCTGCCATTGTGGACAATTACAAAGTTAATGTGTCCAGAGTTTGTGTCATTGATTTCATTACTGATTCTTACACTATAATACCGATTACATAATACCCCCTAAAACATTAATGAATACACAAAAATCAACATTATGCAACCTACAAAAAGTATCTGCCATTAACCAAAACATCCCCCCCCCCCCCCCCCCCTTCAAACTTAGGATGTGTCCTCCAGCCCAAAGAGTTTAAGGAACTGAGTGTGGGCTTGAAACTTTCCCACCAACATAAACCACAAAAATCACTGAGAGTCAGTGAATGTCTCTTGGGTTCCCAAATGCACGAAATAATTGGTTGAAGCCTGGCTGAAGACATGACTCAACCAGCAGCAAGACAGCACCAGGTGAAACACTCACAAACACTTCTGCAGGTCAAGCCGAATGAACTGCACACAAATGATTACAAATCTTCACCACCAAATGTGACAAAACCATCACATTTTGGTGGAAGTAATGTGGCTCTCTACACTCACAACTTAATTATCCTTGAGCACGTTTATCACACAAGTCATAAATCTTTCTCCTGCTTTATCTCATCATAAATATTGAAAAAAATTTCTCTGAATTGCCACCAGCCACCTCCTGTATAAACTTCTCCTTACTGGATAGGTTCATGGGACAACACCAAATTAGTGATAACAGATTCTCTCCCAAACCCATACTGAGTAGGCAAATAATATATGAAAAATCTATTATTATAGCCCGTAACATTCTGCTCAAGCTTTAAAAAAGGAACCCTTTTCCCCATCCTTAGGCATACACTGAGTTTATATAGTGCTAGACCTGTGTTTCAAAGATAATCAGTTGATGGTGGCTGATGCGGTGAACATCACACCAGCTGCCCTTTACCTCCCAGGACTTTACTTGGTACCCCGTTTAGGTTGAGCTGACCTGGCAGCCCAGATTAATTTTTAACCTACACAACACTGAGGATTCAGCCCAGCACATACAGACTGACTGCAGCCTAGGCTGGCCATGTTCAAGTCCTTCACTGTCAAGTGACTCCTTCCCACCCCATGCCCAGAAGGTAAAGACATTGCATGATTATTTTAACCTCCAGAGAAACTGTGGGTGCAATAAAATAGCAATTCACAAGTCCCAATGTGGACAAGAACTGTTTCATTTACTGTTATCCAAATAAAACTGGCTGCCAGGATTCTCCGAGTGGCACCGCCAAAGAAGTATGTTGGTTGTGATTTGCTACTCACCCTCCTGCCGAGGATCTGGTTAATAGCTGCAGACTCCTTCAACGTGCACTCAGAGATTACTTTTGGTCTCATCTCTTTCATAAACAACATAAAGGCATTTAAGGGTTTCTTTACATAAGGCTTTTTTCTGCAGTCATCGCCCGCCCCGCTGCCGTGGTGCGCGGACTTACAACTAGAGTTTTCATCACCATGGGACGAGCTTAGCTGCCTGAAAAAAGGACCAAACAGAAAAAAAGGGGATACGATAGCTACTTACTTCAAGATAATCAAAATGTTTCTGCACAGCTGCTTATGAAACTTCTAAAAATTTCTGCTAATTTCTTTGGGGACTGCTAAATCTGTCCTGGGAAAGCCAATGGAGTTAAAAGGGTACAAACTAGAAATTGGCCGAAGAAGCAGGCTGACTTACCCTCCGGCCGAGAATTTGGTTGATAGCTGAGGACTCCCTCAGAGTGCACTCAGCAATGACTTTTGGCCGCTGCTCTTTCATAAATAACATAAATGCGTTTAATGGTTTCTTTATATGATTTTTTTTCTTCTGTGGGGGCTCTGTGGAGTGGCCAGAGCTATTACTGGAAAGAAACAAGGGGACATCAATGGAGAAAACTGCAAGAAAGAGTTACACAGCATTGGCGACAGCATGCAATGATAGTATTAGGATAGCTCAGACAGGGGGACAAACTACACTGACATGATGTTAGTTTTCCCCCCGCACACTGATAAATAATAAACAAATTAAACTATTAACAAACCAAAACCATCATACTGATTAAGACTACATATTTAAGTTAACTTCTTTTGGTTAGTTTAATGCTTATATTTTCAATATTCCACATGGTTGGCAGTTTTCCATATTTCTATACATTTGTCAAATAGTGGGCTTTCAGAAGGCATGGGAATCATTGCTTATGGCGAGTGTGGCTAGTAAGACCAGTTCCTGTCAAGAAACACCTCCCACAATTACAGCATTGGATGTCATACCATATACTACATGTACAGGTTTATGGATCTTTATTTGCCCATAAAGAATATAATATGAATAGTGTGTGCCATTCTATGGCCACATATGGATCCCTGCCTGTGTTGTGGCAGTTGTACACCGTGCTGAGATTTCCCTACTAGGGTCTAGGGAAGAAGACTGCAGCTCTTGTTTAGATACTCAAGTGCAATGAAAGTGCCCTTTTTCAAACCATACCAAGTAAACTAATATATCTCCTAGCCTCCACTGCTTTGCACCCCTTCCCTCATTTCCTAGGAAGAAACCTGCTAGGTCCACACACCTGGCTGACCCCAGTCAGTTATATGACACAACAGAAAGCTACAGCCACATCCTCCCTGTGACTGCAGCTAGTATCCACAGCTGGGAGAAGGACATGTGGACTGCAAGTTGGCTGAACACTTAATACTAACAGCAACATATCAGGTAGCAATACCCAGCCAGGCTGGCTCATGTTTGACTAGGTTACACATCTGATCACTTCTTGTAGGTTAACGGCTGCATCTTCTCCAGCTTCACACACAACAGTAGATCATTTCTGGTATTATTAAGTGAAACTGGACTCCTTTGGGTGACAGGTGAGCAAGCTGTCAAATCTCTGTCTTGATAAAATTGCATGCCTTAGAACCCAAGAGACTACTCAGGTGTTATCATCATCATCCACCAAGTATGTCATACAATGGGTTGATCGTGAAGTTCTTGATTATCCCATTCCCCAGCATGTTGTGTTTTTCTTCACTCATTTTGAAACCAAGATGTCTCCATTTGCAGATCATTGTGTGCATGTTTTATAAAGATCCTTGATCTACCCATTCCTATTTCACGTGAGCTATGCTCCAGTACTCTCTAATATTTGTTAATGTCTTAAATCGTGTCAGTCTCAAGCCTTAAGATTATCGAAGGCTTCTTTGTTTTCCATGACTGTTCATTCCATTTTCATTCGTGTGCACTGAAGTGGTGTAATTAAAGTTAAACAAAAAAACAGTCCATGCATGTGGATACTGTCATCATAAACAACTCATCTGAACCCCAGCTGTTTTATTTCTCCTCCTTCCTTCCTCTTTCAAGAGCCAGTTACCCACATATACACCTTGGTAACTCCAGGATAATTTAGTCCAGCTGCATCATGTATGTATGAACAGTTTACTTTCTCTTCATAGATTCCATAACAGGTTATCAAGTGTTACCTACCATTTATGTTCTTTTATTTCATTTTTTTTTTTTTTAATGATGCTTTAACCCCAGAACTGTTTGTTGGGAATATGTTTTGCTAGGAATGATCCAGAAGCTGGTGAAAACAAACAAGTGCAACAGGTAGAGAGAGACAAGAACTAGCAGAGAGCAAATCCGGTTGTGGTTGATTTGGACACTTCTAATACAACCAGTCAGGTATGACTAGAGGTTGTAGATATTACTAATTTTTGCAATGAAAATGCTGATGATAATTTATGAGTATACTTATTATGATGATGAGTATTATTGCAAGCTGGGGATATTTGTTGTCCAGGTCTGGCCTTGCAACTGCTGGTCTGGTGTCTGTCATGGTAAAGAGAAAACCCTGGCCTTCTTCTGAGGACTCTTTTCCTGTCAGTGGTGCCAGCTATACGATGTGATACTCGTTACTTTATAAACCCATCGGCACGGTGTGGATTTTTGTCATCATAACACAGTGCAAGAAACACCACACACAATAATTGTCTCCAGGCATGGTGTCCGCCTCTCGTGCTAGAGGTTACAGGTTCAATTCACGGTAAGGGCTGGGATTTTTTTTCACGTGGACTAGGACTTTTAGTAATTTCCCTTGGTCTCTGGATAGTGAGATTTTCTTTTTTAATCCAGAAACCACGAGTTGTTAACCCTTTGGCTCAGCACTATGTATATCGCAACCATTCGGCCTTGATTCCATGATAGGTACCGTAAATATGGGGGAAATATGGCTTGTCTGCCTACCGCCGTTAGTGAACCCAGACAACAAGGAGTTTGTCACCTGGTCACCGTCAAGTCAGATTTAACCAACTACGCTAGAGGGCCAGGCAAACAGACGCCTGTGTGCATTGTTGCGCACGTAAAAAAAAAAAATCCCTTGGCAGTTGGAAATCAAAAACAGTAGCTTAACGGCGCTGCCCAGGAAAAATTTAGAATTACAAATCTATCCAAAAGATCTTTGCTGGTGCTACAGAGCCTGTGCACTGTGCTGAGCTCCTTAAAAACACAGACTTGAGTTAGAAGAAAAACGAAGCACTGGTGGGTTACTATCCTTGAGCCATGATGTTGATCTGTTGTTCAAACCTCAAACCACACACAACTGAATTTTGGGGGGCCTAGATGGGGTTTAAAGCCACTGACTCTAGAGATGTGAGTCTGTTTTTGTAATCAACTGTCCACCTCCTTGCACTGAAGTGGAGAGATTCTGTTTGTACATTCCTTCTCTGTCTCCTAGCAAATAGATAACACTGTTTCACATTCCAGCTTTAAATGACATCCATATCATTCTGTTAGTTCATATTTCTACCTGCAATTTATTTCTGTGACAGCAGTAATGACTGACAGTAAATGAGACAGAAGATTGTGGACTGACATGATTACCCATGCCCCAAAGAACAGACTATAAGAAAAGAACCTGTCAAACACTGCTGGTGTCAAGTCATACAGCGCAGACAGGTCACTGCAGAGAGTGCATGGTGTTTTGTTGTTGTTGTGTTGTGTTTGTAGCAGATACAGATCTGCATTATTTTATATTCCAACTTTATGAACTGATTGTTTACATTTGATGTTTTGTCTGATTTTATCTGATGTTTTATCAGAGGCAATTAAGAAACATCACAACATATATTTCTTTCTAGGATATTGGTTACATCACATAAATGAGGAATCGCAGCGATCCCTCATTTATGTGATGTAACCAATATCCTAGAAAGAAATATATGTTGTGATGTTTCTTAATCTTATCTGACCAATCCTGATTTAGTGTCTCAGCTGCTCCAGTTTATCAGCACTTGTTTAAATTAGTCTTTTACATACTTGGTATAAATTTACTATCATAATTCTTGCAACAAACAAGTCAAACTATTTAGGGAGACAGGGACAGATGAACAGAAGGAGAGTGACGAGCTCAGGACAAGAGACTGACATAGATGCATAGTGGTGAGAGTTAGAGAGCGGTAATGAGAAATAAATATGTGTGTGTGTGGGTGAGAGAGAGAGAGAGACAAAGAACGAGAGAGAGAGAGAGAGAGAGAGAGAGAGAGAGAGAGAGAGAGAGAGAGAGAGAGAGAGAGAGAGAGAGAGGAGAGAGAGAGAGAGAGAGAGAGAGAGAGAGAGAGAGAGAGAGAGAGAGAGAGAGAACAAGAGTGAGAGAGAGAACAAGAGTGAGAGAGAGAGAGAGAGAGAGAGAGAGAGAGAGAGAGAGAGAGAGAGAGAGAGAGAGAGAGAGAGAGAGAGAGAGAGAGAACAAGAGAGAGAGAGAGAGAGAGAGAGAGAGAGAGAGAGAGAGAGAGAGAGTCACATATAAATGAAACAATGAAAACAATCAAGTGTTGAGCTCTTACCTGTGGTGGGAGTCTGACAAGAGCTGTGGGGACATGAGTTCAGATTTGGGGCCTGCTCCCAGGGAGGCGTGGTGTGGAATGCCTGGGTGGCCTAAGCCAGGGTGTGACAGCAGCCCTGGTGGCCCATAACGAGACAAAGATGACAATGACGGCGGGAAAGAGCCCGCGAAGGCACCTGAGGTGAGGGGGTAACCTGGCCTATGCCTGAAAAATAAAACAACAAAATCAGCGCCAGCCGGTGTGTTGTGTAAAACGTACACCATTTACAGCAGTGGTGCGTGTGTGTGTATGTGTGTGTGTGTGTGTGTGCGCGCGCGCGTGCGTGTGCGCAATATTTTTAAAACACGTTGGCAGTTAAATATAACAAAAAATTTGAAGTATTCAGATTTTAACTACGTTACCGATAAAGGTAAAAAAAAAAAAAAAAAAATGAGGTGGGCTGACTCAATTCCTCCTTCATCACCTGTTATTGTCCAAACATTGTGACAACACATGATGTTGACAGTACTTCTGTTAGGACGCTGGGTCAACCCTAATGTCACAAATAAACAGAGTGCAAAATAAATCGGGCAACTTCTAACATAGCAAGATATATTTGTTGAAGTTCATCGACGCACGATCCATGCTAGTTACGATCTCCGTACTTACGACCATGATATAAGGGTAAATAAGGAAATATTCGATTGGTAAGATTCCTGTAAATGTTGCAGGAGAGTAAGTATTGTGTATTTCTACACTATATACAATGAGTATACGTAAACCGGTTGAATTTTTGTATTTTATGCACAGTTTTTACAACTCGTCTGAATGAAAATAGTGCTAAACAACAACATATAAATTCGATTAAAGACCTGTTATTCGGCAGTTTTGGCCACCACTATGCTATCAGTGCCAAACGTGGACAATGAACGTAAAATTGTGACAACAGAGATGAAATGCCTTAGAAGAGCTACAGGAGTTTCAATAAAATACAAAATACGAAATCAGACGAAAGCTAGGAATAAATCCAGTCTTACAGGTCATCACAGAACAACAAATGAAGTGGTTTGGACACCTAACAAGAATGCCCCGGTACTATCTGCCACAGCGAGCCACTCTAAAACGTTACAACGGGTATAGAGCAAGTGACAGACCTCGGAAAATTGGAGTGATGGCACACGATCATAAATACCACGGCCATCTTTAGCTATCTATAATTGGCGGTGATAAATACAGAGCACTAAAAGCAGTCACACAATTTATTAGAGCAATAGTTGAGACGATTTTACCATTTCACGAGAAAAACTTCTAGTGCCAACTGCCACGCTTATGAAATATTATAGAGCAAGGAGACGACCGTGTCAAAAATATGGAACGACGGAATCGACAACAGCCTTAGAGAAATTAAGATAAATTTTTTACAACGCATTAGAAAAACATACAGACGAGATCCTTATATTCTCTCTTCTTCTCTCCCCCCCCCCCTCCCCTTTCCCCCTCTTTCAGTAGACAATAAAAGCAACTTCTTATTACGAAGAAACAATCACAACAACAAAACCACAAGCACAGAGATGACCATCAGTAATACGCTGAATAAGAATGGCCACTGATAATGAAACCATTTAATTTCTTCTTCTTATCCTGCAGCTTTTTCTTCATGGATCAATGTTGTGCATAGTGACAAATATCAAGAAAGAGAGTTGAACATAACGTGTTCATGTCGCCTATGATATTCGCCTTCAAACCTGCAAAGACTGTTCTGTTCATGCTGACTAGATTTCCATTCCTTATTGCAAAATGTGCTGCAATCTGCTAGCCAGAGTTCGTCTTGGTTGTCCACAGCTGAAATTACGTCTCAGAGATCTATTCGGAGAGTGCCTTGTGAATCCGACGATCTTGTTCTAAGCCAGAAACCTTGTTCAATAAATAAGTGAAGGCCCCTTTTCAGAATCTGAAGACCATGAAATGAGTCAGAATACCCTTCTCTGAAGCTTCTAGCGCTGCAGTTGATGCTTTCACCTTTATTTTAACATTGCGGGGGTGGAGAGAGAGAGAGAGAGAGAGAGAGAGAGAGAGAGAGAGAGAGAGAGAGAGAGAGAGAGAGAGAGAGAGAGGAGAAAAGACTGCCAAATACACACACAAGAACTGATTCTCTAAAATCGGATGTGATGTGTCGAAAGGCTTTTATATAGCAATCTAGTTGTAAAACAAGAAAGTTTGCCAATCGCAACGACGACGACGAAGAAGAAGAAAAAGAGGAAGAAGAAGAAAAAGAAGAGGAGAAGCAGGAGGCAGAGAAGACGGAGAAGAAAGAAAAAGAAAAAGACGGAGAAGAAGAAGAAGAAGAAGAAGAAGAAGAAGAAGAAGAAGAAGAAGAAGAAGAAGAAGAAGAAGAAGAAGAAGAAGAAGAAGAAGAAGAAGAAGAAGAAGAAGAAGAAGAAGAAGAAGAAGAAGAAGAAGAAGAAGAAGAAGAAGAAGAAATAACCCCCCAGATTGTCTTTGGCAAAGGCGATGCAACTCGAGATGTCTGTCTGCAGAGCCCTGACTTGAAGAATCCCCTTCTGACCGTATTGCCAGGATGTGTATACTGTTTTCCAAGGGACTGCTCTAAAGTAATGTTTACAGTAATTGCCGCTTGTTTGGGATTGTGATTTACTGTCTACCCTCATCTGAAACGAACGACCTCACGCCTGCCGCAGCGTCTCAACAATTTTGGCACGTTCTGTTCCGCAAACACTACTTCCTCTTACCCCCGTCCTTCTCTCCCTTATCAGTGCCAGCATTATCTATTCCAGCCATCTGAAACTATAGTTCCAGTCGCTATTCTGACTGTCCCACCACTACACTGCTGTGAGCTGGAGACGCACCTGTTTCGCCTTGTGCTATGAATGTGATTTGATAGCGGTTCCAATAATAGATCCCTCCGGTGGCATTTGTAGGAAAATGATTGTCAAAATCAAACTATACCCCATTAAATCCATACCCTGGCAGCCTCGTATTAGTACCTCTTTGGCATTTGTTGTTGATTTACTGTGCTCCAAGTGTTCCACATTAACCCGGTATCTGAGGCCACAAACAGCTCTATTTGCGTTTAAGGAACTATAAATACCAGCTCGTGTCTGCACTGTGTTCATTTCAAAGCTCCTAGACAATATGAACAAACGGAATGTTCATCGGCCTGTGCGTCTGAAAGCTTCAGAACGAGTTTAAATTAAACCTATCCATGGCATCCACTTGAGCTAACGGACGAGGCAATCACGAGGAAGTAAACTTCACCACGAGCACAACCTACACTTGACATGTTCCTAGGATTTGGTGGAGGGCCTGAGGACTGCCTGTGGGAAAGGAAAGCCCTGGTACACACTCACAAAAATATAAGCCGTAAGAAGTTCTAACAACACCCGGCAAACATAATAAAGCCATGTTCTGAGACGATATGGCTGACATATTTATCCCCCCTTCGGATTAACGATCTACTTGAGAGCAATTAAACAAAGCACAGGATTGGATAAACGAAGCCAAGAAGTCAGGCATATAAATGTGTCATCCCTGACAGATTCCATGCTATAATTACCGACAGAAATGTGCCATTAAACACAGGTACCTGTGCCTGAGATGTGGGCTTGTCTTTTCTCCAACATTCTGCCTCTCTCGCCAGCACCTTCTTTATTAACCAGGGAGGATTCTAAACAGAAGAGAGATTTTTTTCTCTCTCTTTAAAACGGACGGAGGTAAAACGGCTCCAGATACTATAAAGCTAGAATGGAAATGATACTTAAGGTCGTATGTCTGACAGACTGCTGCTACAGGCTGACGTCGTGGTTTCAGAGAAGGGAGGTTGATTCGACTTTTACGTGTGAATGAATGTGTTTCAGTGTGTGGGGTTGTGAGATGACGCGAACATGTGTGGCAAGAAGAGATGTATGAACCCTGAGAAAATTAGTGTTTCTGTGAAATGAAGATAAGGAAACATCGGTGTTGTTTCTTAATGGTACTATACATGCCAGTAAAGACTTCGCCAACAAACGAGGATGTGTGAACGCACGAGTGTGAAATTCCTAGTTAACGACAGACGGCTCGGGTTAGGAAATGGGAGTCGACACACCTTGTCTACATTAAGTATGACACGTCTTCGGGAGGAGATTTGAGCAGTGCGTCTGCAAACCGCCCGAGTCCATCCACGAGCTTTGGTTGCACGTGTTTGTGTGTGCAGAGAAGGCGGGCGTGATCAGGCTGGTTGTCCGTGAAACCCTCATCGCACGCTGGAGATGAGCACGACCATCAGACCTGATGGATGTAATTGAGCTCCCCAGAATGTCCCAAATCAAACTTACTGCATGAAAAGGGCATGAGAGAGAGAGAGAGAGAGAGAGAGAGAGAGAGAGAGAGAGAGAGAGAGAGAGAGAGAGAGAGAGAGAGAGAGAGACAGACAGAGAGAAGGGATGTCTGGAGTAACAGAAGTGCTGTAAAAAACTATGTACAATACTTTCGTCTTTCCTATTGAAATTACTGTTATTTCATTTCTCTTTATTATGTTTTATAATTATTTTTTTTTAACCGTGTGTGTGTGTGTGTGTGTGTGGTCAAAATTCATACTTTGTCATCTGCGGTTTGTTAATTATTCTACGCTATTTTGAGTTTTATCTCTTTCTATCACACACACATTTCTGATGCTCTAACCTCTATTTGTGAGCTTGTCTCCTCCCCTCCCACCCCCCCCCCCCCCCCCCCCCATTTAAATTACTGCTTTTCTTCTCTCTTATCTGTTAAAGTTCCACTCTCTCACCGGCGAAAATTAGTGCCCATCTCTCCAAAGTACAATTTATCAATAGCAGCGGCCTAACACCTCACATATTCTTCACCTCCAGTCGCTAATTACGACCTCGTTTTGTCAATACCCATCTCAGCGACTAATTGATGACCACCCTTATCTAACAACCCGATGCAGGCTGCGGAAATGTTTCAATGCAATTAGTAAGTTTATTTACAGCTGTTCACTTGCCTCCTTCATCTTCCTCCTCTCCTACACTGTTTTGTTTGGCTACCTCCTCCAGTCCATTTCCCTAAACCATTATGTTTTATTGATACGTCAATTGAAATGGTCCCAGCAACCAGATAGGAGTTGAGTATGTGGATGCAGGCGGCGGCGCTAACGACTTGTGAGAACCTGTTGTAGAGGTCCTTGTGCGACGACCGTTGATGAGATACGGTTCTCGGCAGCAGACAAGTCAAACATGGCAAGGACGCTGTGCTTCGGCTTCAGCCCTGCTGACACTAGCTAATGCTGACAGCCATAAATGCTCCCCGCCGTCTTCGTTCGCCTGGTGACACCACTCAAATTTCACACCTGCTGACAAGTAATACATTTACTGCATTCTTCATAGCACGCCTGCCTACTTTTCCCTCGTTACCCCCGCCTACTTTCCTCTTTTTTTTTTAACCCTTATTTTTTCCCCTTGTCTAAATCGCCATCTAATTCTGGTTTCTCCTCCCTTTTTTCTCAACTCCCTCTCTCCAAGCTGCCTCTAACCCTATCCCTGTTTTCGACTCTCACCTATCGCTTCTCATTACTATCTCACCTCGGTGTCTCCTCCTTCTGTGTGTATCTCCCTGCCTCCAAGATCTGATGTCTAGTTTTTAGAGCTCCAGCAAAGCACTCCAAGTCACACACCTACAACTGAGGCATTTCTTATACTTGCAGCCCGCTCACAAATCAAAAGAGTGCTAACTAGATTCTGTGTTTCCAATTACTCCTTGTGTCTGATATTAACATGCTTTCTCCCATCACTGTCTGTTTCTACTAGATCAGTCTTCTCATGTGGTGGTCTGCAGAATTCTCTTCTTAGCGTTTTCTGGGTGTAAACTCCGAGGAGAGTTATGGTTTTTTTGTCCAATTATGGGCTTTAGTCTTGTTCCCGAACTTGCGTTTTGCGCGCACATCCGTTTGATATATGGTTTATTTCTAAGCAAAACTGTTGGTTCTTCGACTCTGCGGAAGATGTACTCCGACTTCTAAAGAAACACTGCTGACTGATCGCCTTCTTTTGCGTTACCGTCGGAAACTGATCTTCAATGAACAGAAAGAACATACTTATTGCATGCTATACGAGAGACAACACGCGCCAAAGACCTCAAACACGAGGATAATGATTTGTCTCGAATGCCAAGTTTGGGTGTATCTGCCTGACAACAACGCAAGAGCACACGGACACTACATTAACCAACGCAGATCTGGTGTCGTCAGCGTTAACGCATTTTAGAATGTGCAACGAAGGTGATCCTGTGATATAAGCAATGACTTATGAAGTTCTCTATTTTAATGCCGTATTCCGAAAGTCCTACACCAGTTAGTCTGGTCCCTACCTACCAATCACAACAACAAAGTTCTGAAACCCTACAACATTAAATCAAGGTCCCAAATAAAAGTGTCAGAAAACTGCATAACCGTTTCATATCTGGTTCCAGTTAACGAAATCATTAAAAAAAAAAAAAAACTAATTGAAACCCACCCGCTTCTAGTAAACAAGTTACCCGACCAACGATAAAATCACGGGTTCAAATTTTAGATTAATTTTTTTTTAAGCAAAAATACTGTAAATGTGATTACCAACGAGGTGTTAAAAATGCGTACCACTGTAAGTGGAATGCGCAGCAATATTAGTTTTATGTTTGTCGGAAATTAGACGTGCAGCATGTTTTTGTAGCAAATAATAGTTTAATGGCTGACGCTAAGCAATGACTGCAGTGTGTGGAATAATAGCTCTTTTCTTCGGTTTTCATGGACATTTTAAACTGTTTCTTGTTTGACAACCTTGTGTTGGTTGTTTGCTTAATCAGTGCGTGGGTGTTCCGTGTCAGATGTCGCTTACTGATAATCAACACAGGAGACACCTGATATATCACACCAGCGCACACATCGTTGTATCAGGTTAACTGACCATTACACGGACAGGGCTGTGCGAACAGTACCTTATGTAGCTGTTAGGTGTGCCCCAATTATAACTTCTTAGATGGTGGGCTGTGTTTTGCCCGGTTAAACTGACGTCCAGGACACGACACTTAAAGTTAAATGTGTGGTGGGACCTTCAGGTATCAGTCCGCATGGAGACATGGCTGTGAGGTTAACACACACACACACACACAGAGAGAGAGAGAGAAGAGAGAGAGAGAGAGAGAGAGAGAGAGAGAAAGAGAAAGAGAGAGAGAGAGAGAGAGAGAAAGAGAGAGAGAGAGAGAGAGAAGAGAGAGAGAGAGAGAGAGAGAGAGAGAGAGAGAGTCAAGATGGACGGACAAGTGACACTTTAAATCACAAACGGACACTGAGTCGTGAGACCCAGCGTCGAGTCAACAGACAATAAAAAAATGTGCAGTAGCACTTATGTCACGGATCAAACAATTACATCAGCAATAAACATTGGGTACTCGCAATCATGTCAACGAGGAGACAAATGATGACATTAATAACGAACAAGGGTACTAGCAATTTTTAAATGATGAGACCTACAACGGAAATAACTAATACAGACACTCTCCGCTTGTCAATAATGAGAGTAACAATGACAACAGCAACACACAGGAAGTCAACTTACCAGGAAGCGCTAGTAAACTCCGGAGAGTACAAAGGGTGTGGAAACTGACCGGGAGGGGCGGGGTAGGCTGCATACATTGGCGGTCGAGGTAAACCTGAAACAAGATGGTGGAGTGTTAGCTTTAGCAAATCACAACAAAAGCCAGTAGTTCTTTCTCTTTTGAGATAATGATGACAACCAACCACTATAACTAGAAGTATTAGGTTATTTTCAGACATCGAAAACCAGTCTCAGTATTTGTTAGCTGTTTGGTGTTTTACTAAGCACTTTTATAATTGTATGTGTATTGTTCTTGTATTCTTGTAGCAGCAGCAGCAGCAGCAGCAGCAGCAGCAGCAGTCAGTAGTAGTAGTAGTAGTAGTAGTAGTAGTAGTAGTAGTAGTAGTAGTAGTAGTAGTAGTAGTAGTAGTAGTAGTAGTAGTAGCCGCAGCAGCAGGAGAAATCGTATTAGTAGTAGTCGTAGAAGCAGCATGTATAGTTGATATAACAATAGGAACAGCAGTAGTAGCGGCAGCAGGAACAGTTGATGTAACAGTAGTCACAGCATCAGCAGGAACAGTTGTAGTAGCAGCAGCTGTGACGACGGGTTGGTGGTGGTGGTAGTAGTAGTAGCAACAGCAGCAATAATAGTAGTAGTAGCGATTTCTGTTGTGGAGCAAGTGGCTGCAAAATGGTCCAGTAGCAGATAGTGCAAGTAGGGTTATGAAGTGTTTGACCTTTACATATTCTCAACCGTCGGGGTGGGAGTCAATGGCTGGTTCTTGTCCTCTCCAGAAAATTCTGACAACTGTATGCCTGTTATATATTGGTCGATCATCGAAGAAATATACTCTAACATTACTTTAAAAAAAAAAAAAAAAATTTTTTTTTTATTATTATTTCACTTTCGACTATTATCTTACTATAAGATGTGTTTACGTTAGTGTCGAGTCCTGCCTCACTGTAAAGTGCTCTGAACTCTGTCTTGTTGATAGGTCGTATTCAATCACCAGTCTCAGCACAAACATATTTTTTACCGTTACTTCCCATTACTGACTCATTCCAGCAATATCTCATTCTAAGATAACCTTAAGTTACTTTTTACTCTGCCTAAATGTAAGATACTCTATCGTGTAAGATACTATAACGTTATTTTTCATCAATGTCTCTACTATAAAGCACTCTAAAGTTACTTTTCATAGCTGTCTTTTGTAAGATACTCAAGCAGTACTTTCTCGCAATGTCTCACCGTAAGGTACCCTATTGTGTAAGAACCTCAAACGTGACTTTCCATGATTCTGCCATTCTAAGATACTCTTAAAGTTATTTTCAACCAATGTCTTATTGTAAGGTACTTTACTGTGTAAGATACTCTAGCGCTTCTTCCAGGCACGCTACTTTCAGTCACCTGTCTCAGCATGAACATACCGTAACGTTATTTTCGGCCTCGGCACTAGAATATAGTCAATAATCACATCTCAGGTAATCTCTTCTGAGAATGGAGAATGTTCATTTGCTCTTTAAGCAGCACCAGATGTCGGCCCAGTCAAATAAAAGCTGCTTCTAGATGGTTTTGGCACTTTACGACTTCCTGAAATCGGCGACCTCGCCGCGGGGGAGATAACCGCAGTCACCTTGCAATAGGAGAGTCGTTAATTCTGACCCCTTGTCTAGGGTGTCATGAGTTAAAACGCTGAGAGGAAGCAAGCAGCATTCGTTTCGTAGTTGCTGCCGTTGCTGTCATCCGCGCCTTGCGATTGTTTCTACCTATTACAGGACAGGCATTTTCGCCGCAAGCGACAGACTTCGTTTGTGCGTTGACATCAAATCTAACTTTGATTTAGCTTTTTTAATTGGATTCATCGTAGCGTAGGGCACATATATAATCTAATTGTGTCTATCTCTCGGTTCATCATCATCAGCGACCAGGTCGCCCATTGGCTGGCCAGCAGATGACTTTGACGTCGAGCGGGACAGTATTTGTGTCTATCACTGCAACACTGCAAGAGTCCTTTTCACTGCTACTTGCAAAAGATAGTAACATAATAGGTACTAAGATACCCGGGGCGGGAGAAAGAAAACTGATCGCCTATGCGGATGACACAGCTTTCTTCCCTTCGAAAGAAACATCAATACTTAAAATTTTAGATACCTTTAGACAATTTGGGAAGGCAAGTGGGGCAAAAATAAATGTCAACAAATCACAAATTATGGGTTTAGGCAGTTGGAGGTACAAATCAGATTTTCCCCTTTTCCTCCAGCCAGAATAATAAATACAAAACACATTAAAAATATACGGAATTAACTTCAAAAACAATCCAAGGAGAACACACACACAAACATGGGGACAAATTAACCACAGACGTAAATAATATAATAAACTTATATAAATACAGAAAGTCCACAATATTTGATAGAAGCAGAATAATAAATACATATATAATACCCAAAAATAATCTACATAGCTACAGTAATAGATCCCCCAAAGCAGGCAATTTAAAAACATAAATAAAGCTATTAGGCCCTTTTTATTTGGCAGTACGGCATATAAAGTTAGTCAGAAAATATTAATCCAAAATAAAGAGAGAGGGGGTGTAGCCGTACACGACATTAATACCAAAATTAAATCCTTCAGAATAAGACACATAGGGAGAATCATAACCAACCAGAACACATCCTTTAGGCAATTACTACCTAGCCTTGAGACTACACCATTTAAAAAAAGTAGATAACAGCTCTCCAACATTTTTTCAGGAACCCTACCTCCCTTCTACAGAACATGTCTCCAATATCTTAAAGGAAACGAAACATTAGTACAAAAGACAACCAAACAAATCTACACACACCTAGTAACCAAACAAGAAATACCTCTTTACACTAAAATCCAAAGAGGAATAAGATACACTAGGACAAACCATTACATGTCCTTCATAAACATACACCAACCATACATCAACCCCAAAGCAAAAGAAATAACATATAGATTATTATTTAGTTTTACTCCTACTAAGGAATACACAGCAAAACTTCGAAACTGTAAAACACCATGCAAGCTGTGTTCAAACAACATACAAGAAACAGAAGAACACATATTTTATAATTGTACAACAATACAGACCACACTCCAAGAACTCAAAAACACCATCTACAAATACACAACAACACAAGCAGATATTTACAAAGCAGTTTTCTTGAACACAATTCCAAAAACAACAAGAGATAGTCATGTGAAAGTTCTGTCAGCACTGGCAGAGTACAGAACGATGATATGGAGGTACAGATGCAAGGCGGTACATGAAAACAAAAAGTATACCTCCAATCACCTGTTGCATCACTTCCAATGCCTTTTAACAAAGATACTCACTTAAAAATATCTGACTCTTTACTCGCGTACATTCATTCTTCTCCTTCTTCCCTTTCTTGCTTCCTTCCTATATCAATACTTCTGACACAAAACTCTCAATCCTTTCCTTGACACACACTATATAAGATTCACAAATGACTGTATATATGTATAAAATGGAAACTTATACAAAAGGATCAATAACCCTAGAGCCCCCCCCCCCCCCCCCCCTCCACTCCATTTGACCCCTCCCAACATAACCCAAGAACCCTTCTTTAGACATTTAGAACCTTTTATGATTGGTGATTAATATGTTTGAAAAATGCATGTATATGATTTTTGTACAAAATGAAACACATACGTCCTCTCCCTCTATATATCAACCCTTCTTACACAAAACTTTCACTTCTTTAACACACACAATATAACCGTGTATAAATATAAATGTATATAATAGGGGGAATTATAACAAGCTCCCCTCCCCCCCCCCCACCCCCCCCCCCCCCCCCCCCCCCCCCCCCCCCCCCCCCATTCCATTTGATATAAAGTTCTTCCCAATATAACCCAAAAAACCCATCTTTAGACAAATAGAAATGTGATTAATAAAATGTTTGTTCGATCAATATGTTTGAAATGCATGTGAATGACTTTGTATAAAATGAAACACAGACAAAAGGCAACACATGTAAATACACTAACAGAATTAAACAATAAAAGATTTTCAAAAAGGAAAAAAAAAAAAAAAAAAAGCTACTTGGTGGCAAGCAATATGAGGCCATTTAAAATACGCAAAAAACCTTGTCAACCAACAGCTCTTTCTTCAGGGATGCTGGCTGTATGTGACGGTTTTTTTCTTTTCCTCGCAAAACAAAGCAAGGCAACCTGTCAGTTCTCTGATCCGTAGTCGTCAAAGTTGTATGTGGTAGCTGTAATCTATCCATGTGAAAGTTACATGGTGTTTCTCTAACCCATCCATGTAAACGTTTTACGGTATCCCGTTTTACCCGTTGAAAAGAGGGGTGGGACAGACAGACAGACAGACAGACAGACAGACAGACAGATAGATAGATAGATAGATAGATAGATAGATAGATAGACAGACAGACAGACAGATAGACAGACAGACAGACAGACAGACAGACAGACAGACAGATAGATAGATAGAGAGAGAGAGAGAGAGAGAGAGAGAGAGAGAGAGAGAGAGAGAGAGAGAGAGAGAGAGAGCATTTTGCTGTTCTATTCCCGTGCAACTTTCACAGTGTTCTGGCACACAGATATTTCAAAAAGCTCAGAAAACGACTCTTGCAGTGTTGTTGCGATCACATGAGACAGACCCAAATACTGTCCCGACCGACGACGAATTCATCTGCTGACCAAGCCAATGATGATGAACCGATAGATAGATACGATTAGATATATATATATATATATATATATATATATATATATATATATATATATATATATATATATATATATATATATATATATATACACACACACACACACACACATATATATACACACACTATCGTGTTAAAGATCAATAAAGCATCAGTGTTAGCATTCCAAAAAAGATTACAGGCTCAGCATAACTACTAGTGACCTCCTTCAAGATATACGGAAAAGACAGGGTACTAAGCTTAGACCTCGAAACACTGAGCTACTGTGCTACCGCTCGGCTGACTAAAATGTCAAGTCTCCCTGGGCCCAGAGGAATGCGTGTCCCAACAATTAAACATAATGCGTTGGTGTGATCGCCTGTAAAAAAC